CGTGCCTGATCGACGCTAGGGAAAATGGGAATGATCCATGTCTTATGAGAAACCTGAAACAGTTAATGCTGGAGTGTATGTCACTGGATATTTAAGTGCAAAAAGGAAAGAATTCTGGCTTTGTCTAGACCAAGTGTTCCATAACTAATGCTGCATTGTCCAGGCATTTCAAGTGTTTTTTTTCTTTAGTGCTTTTTTTGGTAACTCAAAACCCCCAAACCAAATATATGTGTTTCCAGTAGTTTGTCTTGGAGGTGTGTAGTATCTTCCGCTTGTTCTGTTGGTAAGAGTGTCTCTTGGATATCTAGATACATTAAACAGAAGTTTTTCTCATCCTGTTAGAAATTTGGGGAAGAAAAAGCACTGACCTATCCAGATCTTGTTTTCAAGTATTAGATGAAGGTTGCTATTGCAAGTCTTTCAAACCCAATCCCCTTTTACAAACATTTATTATTCTTAAATTCCTGGAGCTTTTTAATAAGCAATCTCAGGAAGATCCAAGTTTCTAAATTCACATAATAAAAAAAAAAAAAATCCATGTGTTCAATTCACTGAAATATTCAATGGCTTATTTTTTAAAAGCATTTTTCTTTCTTCTATTTGGAGCTTTTTGGATGATAGTGGTGAGAGCACAATTTTACCCTGTAATATATGCAAAACAAATTTGAAATAGTACTATTAGTTAACTTAGTTCCAAGACCAAAGGGTAGTCATACTGTCTGTAGCCTGTTGACAGCAGTTGCCCAGCAAACGTGTTTGGCTTTTTTTTTCCCCCAGGTGAGCGAATCCGGTGTTCACAGACCCCACGTAGCAGGCATACATGGCAGAAGTAATGATGGCGCCTACTCCTTGGTTCTGGCAGGAGGCTATGAAGATGACATAGTAAGTGAATCTTGATTATTTATGCCTGAGAACCAATTACCTTGTAGTTAAAAGAAAGACTTGGCCTTAGTTAGGTTTTACACTCTGTATCAGACATTCCCCCATCTTGATGATATCTACGTTCTTCAGAAGAAAACTAGGCGAAGGAAAATTACAATCCAGTAATATGTGCCAACCTGAGAAACAGGATCACCTGAATTATGTTTAATACCCATACGTCAGCTTTCAATCCAAGAGTCCTTAGCTGCCTTTCTGGGGTCTCCATGGCATCCACAGTTTGGACAGTCTCACGGTATATGCTTCCTGTGTCGGGAGAGTGTTCAGAACAAAACTAGGGACAGAAGTCCTACTTCTGAATACGCCTTTTGGTTCTGCTAGCCAAACCTAAGCTGTACCAGGCTCTACTGCTTGTTCTTTTTTGCAAATCACTGGTGCATTACTAGCCTGTACACCCTTACCCTGTTAGAACTCGGGTAACAGGTAGCCCACGAATCTCAGTTGCTGTTCTAAGTCTTAATTCTGACTGAGGCACAAGTTACACTATCTTTATCTAGAACATGCCCCTGCACTTCCAAGCAGATTCTGAGTGGTGTGCTGCTCTCTTGGCAGAGGTCTCTGTGCTGTTAACATGTGTGACAAGGCAACAATTGTCACCTTGACTCTTTTGCCAATATAACAGAGGAGCATAGACTGAGTCTGGGAGCTTAAATGGAGGAAGCATCTTTCCTTTTTTCAGAACAGCCTATTAAAGCTACTTGATTAAAAGACTCTTCTGCTTTTATTGAATTATTTTTGTGAATGCGTTGAAACCATCCATGTACGTTTCAGGATCATGGAAATTCCTTCACATATACAGGGAGCGGAGGGCGTGATCTTTCTGGAAACAAACGCACAGCGGAGCAGTCTTGTGATCAAAAACTCACCAATATGAACAGGTCGGCAACATTCGCACTCCATTCCTAATCTTAGTGGCTGGCAATCTGTCAACCTGAAAAATCATTTCTCCTGTTTGTATCAAAAGAAACTGGCTAAGTGGAAAAGCTGTTGAAATTGTTTCCACTGTGGTGTACGCTGCAGATCAGTTGCACGACAGAAGTGCTTCTTATAGCACACTATAAATGAAACAAAATTGTAAATGGTATTGGGCTTGCATTTAGTATTGACTGAAACTTAAGGAACAGAGTAGTAAATTAGTGTAGAAGTTTTCATACTCTCTCATGAAGACCTTTGCAGTCACTGGTGTATGAGTCACCTTGGGAGTCGAGATCATTTGTAATTCTGAACTGTTACTCTCACAAATAAGTGTGGACTTAAGTGGAGGAGGTGGTCCACGCAATTACGTTCAGGTAATGTAATGAATAATGAGCGTATTTAAAACGTGGTCCCCAATCAGGAGTCTTAATTACTATCTCTCAGAGTTCTTAATGTTATACAAGATACGTGAAAGTGCTAGTATTTAAGACAAACAAACAAAAGCCTGGCTATATCCTTTTTCCTTGGAGATGATTCGGAAGGGGCTCCTTCTGTATCTGCAAAGTGGTAGTAGCTTCCGGTTTTTTGGTAGCCGTTGCTGTGGTTCAGCACAATGCCAGTATGCTGCTACTCTTATTATTGTACTCAACTGTATCAATGTGTTGCTCTGAGTTAAATAGTACAGTTAAATTTATAACTTGTTAGTAGTTGGTTTACCATGCAAGCTTTGCTTTGCTTTATTTTCCTGCTTATTCTGAAGAGTTCTGCCTGGGAAATACCCTAAGTTGATTGGACTTTCTCTTGCAGAGCTCTGGCTCTGAACTGCAGTGCTCCCATCAATGACAAAAATGGAGCTGAAGCCAAGGACTGGAGAGCTGGGAAGCCGGTCCGAGTAGTGAGGAATGTAAAAGGAGGCAAACATAGCAAATACGCTCCTGTAGAAGGGAACAGATATGATGGAATATATAAGGTAAGAAGGATTTGAATTTGAATTGGGGAAAAATAATTTGGTTATGGACAAGGGGTTTTTATATTGTATGATTGACTTGCATCTGACTTTTTTTTAGGTTGTGAAATACTGGCCTGAGACAGGGAAATCTGGGTTTTTAGTGTGGCGTTACTTACTTAGGAGGGATGATGAAGAACCTGCTCCTTGGACTAAAGAAGGAAAGGACAGGATGAAAAAGCTTGGCCTAACAATGCAGGTACACTTTTGGAACATCATTATGGTTCTCCTAGACAAGGAACTTGATGGATAGCAGGAATTTTTCTATTACACATTCTTATTGAGGATGATCTTCTTCGCCTTGCATAAGAATCAAGACAGCCCCCCTTAGACTGAGGGGCACACCAGTGCTTTCAGTCTTATGGGTTGTTTGTTTTCTTTTTACATCAGGAGGCTAAACGGACAAAACTCACTTTCTCATAGAGAATTTCTGTAGTCTATTTAGTACCTTGCAAGAGCAGGGATCTGCTGCTGCAAATAGAGAACCCCTGGAGCAGTTCCAGAGGTCATCTTTCTGACTTGCAGTAGTCTACCGACACGTTTGCATTGGATGCTTTTTGTTTTGTGTTTCTGTAGTATCCTGAAGGGTATTTGGAAGCTGTTGCAAACAAAGATAAGGAAAAAGAAAATAATGGAGATGAGGAGTTTGATACCCCGGGAAAAGGAAAAAGGAAAAGGAAATCAGCAGGTTTGTGGAGTAGGCAAGTGGATATAGAAACCCTTGTAGGTTTTTGTGCATTTTACCTAGTTTCTCTTTTCTGGTTGCTTTTTGTTTGCTTGTTTACAAGTTCATTGTGTTTTCTTTCAGGTGGGGAGGAGAAACTCATTACCTCCCCTACAGGGACTCCAAAGAAAACTAAAGTTGAGCCATACAAGCTGACATCTCAGCAAAAATCTCTTATAAAAAGTGATGAAGCCAATGAAAAACTGTGGAATGAAGTACTAGAAGCTCTCAAAGATGGACCGGTAATGTCATGCTTTTTTTTCCCCTGAAATAAAGTGACAACTTTTGTACTATCCCTAGAAACAAACCTTTTAGCTGCATTAAAGAAACAGCCTCAGACGGATAGTGTTTTTTTAGTATAGACATCCACAGCATAACTTTAAAGCCCTGTATTTGATGTCAGTAAGACAGTTATCAGAACTCATTTAACGTGACTACTTTTTTTCCTTGCTAAGCTTTGTAGAAAAACTTTCTATGACTAAAGTAAGCCCTTGCATTTAATGTGAGGTGGTTTGTTTTTTTTTTTTTCCTGTATCTTCCAGAGAGTAGTAGCAATAAATTGATTCAAATGTTCTCTTTACAGAAATTTCTAAATAAAGTTGAAGAGGCCTTCTTGTGTATCTGCTGTCAGGAGGTTGTGTTTCGGCCAGTCACAACTGTATGCCAACACAACGTGTGCAAGGTGAGTAGCTGATAGAACTCTTCTGTTGAGGTCTGTTAAGCCAACGAGCCTTAAGCTGACTTGTTTAGTGCTGAGAGAGGAGTGTGGGGGGTGTCTAGGTTGGTTTTTTTGCCAGTAGTCTTTTAGTATGAGTCAGGTTTATCAAATCATAAAGTTTTAATATATAAAAGTCCTTTGATATAGAAAAGTCTGTGCTTTAAAGGAAGCTCCACTATTGTATTGCCACTATCTGATTCTTTTAAAAGATGATGAGAGCTTCTCTGTGGGCTCAGTGATGCTGGTAGGTGACGCTGACAGATTCAACAGTGTTACGGAGCGTATGGGGTTTTGTTTTTTAAAGAGTGATGTGTTTTTGCAGAAACTTCAATGGTCTTTAACAGCTGCAGGGGATTTCTTGATCTTCAGAAACGTAATTGAACGAAATCTCTCTACCATATACCTCAACACCGTGTCTGTGACTAACGTGCTCTGTTGAAGTGCACGTGCTGTTGCACGTAATGAAGGAAGTTTTCTCTCCAACTGCCAGCCTTGCATTGCTCTTGGCCTTTCTCAGCTCTTGTCAATACCTGGGTGAACTAGGATATAAAAGGAATCTCATTCTCTCCAGTGAGGGCTTTGTAGAATAAGCAAAACTGCACAAGTCTCTTTCTTAACCAATTTTTTTTTTTTGTCCTTCACCAGGATTGTTTGGATAGATCCTTCAAAGCTGATGTATACAGTTGTCCAGCCTGCCGCTACGATCTTGGCAAAAATTATACCATGCAGGTGAATGAAACACTGCAGACCATTCTAACTCAGCTCTTTCCTGGATATGGCAATGGACGGTGATTCTGTAAAGCACTTCTAATTTTCTTTTTTTCAAACTTATGAATGGATTTTCAATGGGCTTAATTAAAAAAAAGTAGTCTGTGTTCTCCCAGACCCCTAAAAAAGTTTAAAGTCTTCCTCGTTTTTAAAAAAACTATAAACTTCAAGGAATATCCTTTTGTATGTTTGTGGATTTTGTTTTTGTTCTAAATGTTGAACTTTGCGTTCTCCCTCCCCCCAACTGCCATTCATCAGCACAGAATTATTTTTCTTTAATGGACTTACAAAGTGTTTCCGGTAAGGCTGCTAATGATTATGAAAGTTCTCAGAGTGCCTCCTGTGCCCCCTCTTTTTTTTTTTTTTCTTAATTCAAAAAAATGGCTTGGTTGCTAGAACAATCTTCAATGTTTGGGGATTTGGCCATAAAGGTAGACTTGTGCATCACCTTGGCAGCATTTTGATGCTCAATATGTACAAGATGGCTCTTGGCTTAATGATCTTTTTACCACAAGTGGGTATTTGCTACTTTTTTTAAAGAACTGTTTTTTATACATTTGACAAACCTATCAAAAGCCATTTCCTACGAATTTTGTATATCAAAAAAACAAAGCTGCTTGTGTATAGCCAAGTGGTTGGAGCAATATGAAGTACTACCTCAGCTGGACTTCTTTCTTATTAGGGAACTATTTGTTCAGCCAGGTGCTGTCTTCTATCCAGAAATGCCATTGTGGAATATACTAAAGCCATTCTTAAGTGCCTTTTGTCCTTTTCTGAAAGACTGGGCTCTGAACCACCATATATATATTTTTCATAAGCACTGAATTGTTTAAACTTGCCAACCGGATTTTATTCTTTGGATAAAATATAACACTGTAGCTGTAAATGATTAGCATGGATTTGCAAACTTTCAGGTTTCCTCCTAATGCTAGGTGTATTATGGTAACAAGAGGGTTGTTTTTTTCCTTTGTTTCTCTGCATTTCTATCTGGAAATGGAGAATAACAAATTCTGACTTTTTTTATGAAGCATTTTGTTTATTGTACATGACACCGAGAAGGCGTACTTTTGTGAATGGGTTGTCTTTTTCTAACATTACCAAAGTTTGCAGTTTAATACCTCAACAAGACAGGGATGTTTTTAATCACACTTTACTGCAGACAGACTGGAACAAATGTGCCTATTTTTGGTTTTCTTAACTCTTACCCTTTTTAAAATTATAATGTTAATATGTTAGGGAAAAAAACACAAAACGTTTTATAGTTTTTTTTCTGAATTTGTCAATTTTTTTGTACAATGTGCAAGTCGAAGTTCTCAAAATAAATATCTTTTCAGATGAAAATGACTGTTTTCCTTAATTCTTTTTATTTGAAGCAGGTTTCCAGATGTAATCGCTTGTGCAGGAATTTGTATTTGTGTTCCATTATGCTAAGCCTTTTGTTTTCTAAGGCCTGTTATTTTCGTTAAGATTTTTTTCACTACAAAGAAATTGGGAAAATACTAATTTGATACTCTTGCCTTCAAAATATTTGCTTCTAGGCACTAGTGAAAGGCATATGTCATGTTCAACTAGAAAACCCAAAGATTGCCCCTATCGCTCTCTTTTGGGGGCATAACTTGCGTTAAGATTTCTACAGCACTGAAATCCAAATACCAACTGGCAGTTGGAATTGCCTGCACGCTTAATGAATAAACCCAAAATTGCTAGAACGGCCATGTCATGCATCATATTGGTGGTGTTATAGCAAGTAGCGTGAGCGTCTCCATCAGCGTTGCAAACCAGGGAAATAAATTAGAAGACTGAGGTTTTCATAAACAAATGCAGGTAAGTAAATGCAGATGAAGTAAATGAAGAAAACGTACAGGCATTTAAGATGTTGAAAGCAAAAGCTGTGAAATTGTGCAACTGCTGCTTAATCTGCCATCTTTAAAAATAAGTTGATTGTAAGGTTAGTATTAACTTTAAACTCCTTCAATTTCAGGTGTTTAGATTCCATTGAAAATGTCCTTCCACTTTTTAATCTATATTGTGATGAGAAGAATTTGGGCTGAGTGGGTGAAATTGAAGGAGTGTGCGTGTGTGTATTTAAATTGAAAGAACCTATTGCAATGACTTCCTTAATATATTGTTTTTATTGTTGTTTGGAATTTGGAAAACAAACTTTGTTTTCCTATATAGGTTTCAGTCTACTGTTCTGAGTGTTAGTGTTTATTTAGCATGAATTAGAATGTCTTTGCAGATGAGACACTTTATAATTTGGGGCTTGCAGATCTCAAATCTCCAACAGGAAAATCACTGTGCTATAGAGTGAGCTGGTATGTGGTTTTGGATATGAAGGCATTGTGTGCTTTAATGGTAGAGGTTATTAGTAGGATGATGCTTCATTTCCTGTGCATTTGTGTTGTGAAATTCTGGAGTAAATATCCAATACGTGACTTGGTAGAGTAAGTGTTTTGAGGATAAGGAATCCGGAAGCAAGAATAACAATGTTGGAAAAAAGAACCCCAAACCAACACAATCTTTCTTCTATTTTGGGAATTCCCATCTTGCTTCACAGCAAGTATACAAAATCTATGGTCTGCACAGTTTAATTGAGCGCAAATTAAAAAATGCCCCTGATAGTTCTTCGTCCTGGCAGGCTTCCATGGTCATGTAATTGCAGCCAGTTTGAAAAGAGTTATCTGTTACGTGGTGATGGTGGCTGCTGGAGACCGGGATGCGAGCAGACGGCGGGAGCTTGGGGCACGGGTACTCACCAGGACCTGTGGCATCCCTGCAGGAGCAGGGGAAACTGCAGCCCTGAGTCTGGTCCTCGGGGAGGAGGATGCCACCCCCAGCTGTCTGAAAGCGGGTTGCCATGAGAGCATGGTACTGCTGTGTCTTCTGGAGGGGGAACTGGAATCAAGCGTAGGTAAATCCCACTGCTTTTAAAGAATAAACTGGTGGGGAGAGGCTGATTCAGTGTACTGGCAGTAGTTAACAGTTAACTTTTTTTCTTCTTTAAAAAAAGCTCCAGGTACTGGGGTCTACAAGAAGCCTAAAAGCACCCCCTGAACACTGCGAGAGCTTGAGCACATGTACTCCCATCTCATCTTCCCGTTTCGCTCATCAGGTGCTGCGGGTCCTCTAGTCCTTCTGGGGCTGCCCAAGCCCCTCGGGGTGCAGGCGCCAAGTAAGAGGGGAGGCGGGGGGCCCTGAGCTCTGCCCTGGGTGTGTGCTGAGAAAACCCCAAGTTCGCCAAAGGCAGACAGGCCGGGCGTCGATGGTGATGTGGCTATCTGTGCAATGTGATGTATGCCATCTTCTAACACCCTTGTGCTACCCACCCCGCGGCCTTCCCTCAGGGGCAG